AGGTTCCCACGGGCGGCCCCGCCTCCTCCTCTAGGCCACCGCCTCGCCTGGGACCTGGCGGGGGTTGAGGTGCTCGCGGCCCGAAGCCCCACCCAACCCTGCGTCTCCCCACCCGGTGTAAGCTGATCCCCTCGCCGGGGCGGTGCCGGGCACCCCGCGCTCCCTTCCCGGGGCTAGGATTGAGAGAGCCCTGTGTTTGAAATTGCACTAGCCCTTTGTCAGCTGTAGTATTATTCGTCCCCCCTCCCTTTACTCCACCCTAAGGGGTACTGCAGGTTTGGTTCTAATCATAAGAGGCCGGTTTGGCAAGTCCCCAGACACTGGGGGTTAATGACCAGTAACCTGCCCTAGGCGCTGGAGGCTTTCTCCTTGGGAAAATAAGGCCAGCATCAACAGACGTTGTGAAGAGTTTATACCCCAAATTCCTGTCGTGCTTCCTATTTTAAATCCTATTCAACTGCAAACAACGATAGAGCTGGAAGGATTTGAAAAGTGATCCACTTTAATCCTTTTTACATCTGAGAGAAGGGAGACCCTGAGACCTTAGGTAACAGGTCCAGAAGAAACGAAAATCCCATTCTCTGTACTTGTTCGCCTGAAAAGTAAAACCGTTTAGAGAGTGACTGTCCAACAGTTCAACAAACTCACAATTTTTCTCCCAGGTAAGATGTTGCGGTATATTTAATAACGGTTCCATCTTAGCAGTCAGTAAACATTACAGAAAGTATTTCACCAACAATATCTCTAATTGGAATTTTGATGCTTTAGGTTGTAATGAAAAGAATTCTGAGTGTGGGTTTGGAAGAAATTGCTTGGGGTTTCGGTTGCACCAGGACCCCGTGACCTTTAGGCAAATCATGTAACCCACCATTTTTTAAACCTGTTTGAGGAGTTATGAACACCTTTGAAAATAAAGCTGACCCTCTATCTAAAAAAATGCCCATTCAGTCATAAACTATTTAACATAGGATTTCATGAAGTTCATGGTCACGAGGTTAAAAATCTCTGATTTAGCCTCTTTGGATTTTAGTTTACTAAAAGAGAAATAATCAACAGCCTCGCCATCCACAGAGTCGTTAGGAGGATCAGATGAAACACTGAGACAGATCTCAAAGCATTCTTTAATAAGAAATAAGGCGCTATCCAAGTATTTGGTGTATCAAGCTATTAAATTTAATTCAAAATATGCTACTTATGAACCAACGAGAAAAGATGCTTGAGTCTTTTCCAAGTGCTAGGCAGGAAAAGGATGTGTATATTGGTGGGAGAGGGTGTGTGCTTTAAACAACATTGAAAAATGAGTCATTAGAAATTTATGTAGCCTTGTATCTTCTGGCTTTGGCTTCTGTGAGACTTAGATTCTTTATAACTAGATTCTAGTCAAGACGGAAAGAGATAAAACACACACAGTTCCCCCATGATTTTAGTCTTTACACTGATGATGATGGTGATAGCAACCAGCACAGCAATAGCTACAAACACCTACTATGTGCCAGAAACTGTGCCAGATACTCTGCTCTCCAGGAGTACTGCAGTTGTCTCCTACTGTGTCTCCTTATTTCCATTCTATAAGCTAGAATTACTTTTCTTCTTTTAAAAGTTGTGTTATAAAATATTTCCAGTTTACAAAAAATGTAGTGAATAAAATAACCATGTACCCACACCCCCCCCCTCAAAAATATATGTAATTTTATTATTGAAGTCTCCTGTGTGTCTCTCTTTAATCCCATTCACCTTCCACTCCCAGGAGTAAAACTGTCCTGATTTTCATGTTTATCATTCCATGACATGTGTACTTTTATTACATCTACTTATATATCCATAACAATATACAGTGTTTTACATAAATTTTATTTTCTCTGTATGTATCTGCAATTATTTTGCTCAATATTCTCTTTATGATTCATCCTCACTAGTAGCTATAGCTGCATTTCATTCATTTTCACTGTTGTATTCTATTGTATAAAGATACTTGTAAATTATGTATCCATTAATGGACATTTAGCTCATTTCCAGTTCTTTCCAAAGATCCTACGATGCCATGAATAATTTCATATCTCCTTTATACAACTTTCTCTAAAGTAATATACCTAGAGGGTCATTTCAATAAATATATTTCAATGTTTTTGCCAGATACTAAAAATAAATTGCTCTTTAAAATGATTGTAATAATTTATACTCCATTCAGCAGTATATGAACATGTCTGCTACTCCAGTGCCTCCTGATTTCTTGGATAGTTTCTGGATTTTGCCATTCTTGTTCATGTACATTTTTCCTGTTGCTCATAAAAGTGAACATTATTTCATGTGTTTATTGGCCTTTCAGTTTTTCCTTTTCTGTAAATTCCAACTTCATATACTTCACCCATTTTTCCATGCAGTTATTTGTCTTTTTCTTACTGTTTCCTAGACTTTTTGTTTGCCTACTATTTTCTGGGAAAATAACCCTTTTTTTGGTTTGCGGGCTTGCAAATATCTTTTCCTAGTTTATAGTTTGTCTTGCTTTAGGATATCTTGTATGTACAGAAATGTTTAATATTTATGTAATTAAATATACGTGTATTTTCCTTTAAGGTTTCTGCTTTTTATGTCTCAAGAAATCCTTCCTTGTACTGAGGTTTTAAAGGTGTTTTCCTGTATTGTCTTCTAAATGTTTTAAAGTATGGGTATTGTCTTTAAATTCTCTGGATTGATTTTGTTTTCTATATGGATAACCAAATGTCTTAGCAGCAGTTATTTAACTGTCCGTCCTTTCCCCACTGACCTGAAATGCCACTTTTGTAATATATCAACTCTTCATGTATGTATAGGTCTATTTTGGAGCCATTTATTCTATTCTACTGGTGCATTTATCTATTCCTCTTCCAATAATCAACTGTCATAATTATGTGTTGATATATGATAGGGAAAATTAAAAATTGGCTTGGCTAATTTTGCCCCCTTGTCCTTCCAGATAAATTTTAGAATTAGATTGTCAAGCTCCATAATGGAAAAAAATCCTCTCGAGATTTTAATTGAAATTATATTGAATTTCAATTAAAAATGCTAAATTCCTTCCTGTCTCAAAAACTTTCCACTGCTTGGACTCTCCTCCTCTAGATCTGCCATGTCTGTATCCTCATTAGATGGGTCTAAGCTCAGATTTGCTACCGCTCCAAAGAAGACTTCTCTGATTGGGTGGCCACACCCCTCTCTGTCCTTCTATCACTTTTCATCCTGTTACTCTGATATATTTTCTTTATTGCATTTACCACTTATATGGAATTATTTTAGTTATGTCTGTTTTTATTATCTATCTTTCCTATTACAGAATAGACTATGGAATGGCAGGGACTTGTCTTTTTATACCTGTAACTCAGCACCTTCTGGGCACATGAGTTCAATAGATATTTGTTGAATGAATGAATGAATGAATGAGTGAATGTAAGGCAGCTATTGTTCCTGTTTTAGAGATGGGGAAACTGAGATACAAAGAGGCTAAATGATTGGCCTAAGACCATCACCTAATAATTTGAACCAGATCTGCTTAAGTTCCGTCCAATCCTAGACTGTTTCTACTCTTGACATTTGTTAATTTATTTATTTTGATCACCAAAAACACAATGGTGATGTAAATGCACCCTTGAGCTATATCTACAGTGCTAAATAAATAGCAACCATGTTTTTCTCTTGGAATTGCTTTTTTAAAATGAAACTTTTTAAACTATTATTAGGAAAGAGCATAAGAGTATGCTATATTTGCATGATCACTAGCACTTAGGCTATGCAGTTTGACCTAAATGATGTTAATATTCTAAAAGTCACCAAAAGTATCTTCCCTGGTTATTTAAATAAAAACCACAAACTCCCAAATTATTTAGGTAAAGACCATAATTTATTACAGTAATTTATGAATAGAATCAAGGCTGAGAAGCAGATATAACTAGAGATTAAAGGTGGCCCTAATAAATGAGTATTTGATCCTTTTACAACGAAGGAAATAGTAATCACGTCTTTCTCAGATAAAATTGATGGAGGTCTAAAACACACAAAATTTGAAAGCATTACTGTAATAAAGACACTCCAAATCTCATATATTTACAGTTAATGTTTTAAAATAGATTCACACATATTCTCATTTTATTCACAAAATAATACAATGATATAAATATTCTTATTTTTACAGAGTGAAATGGCCAAGATCTAACAAGAAGACAGTGCCAAAAAGGATTAAAGTCAAGTTCTCAACCACAGGTTATCTGGCTAAAGGGCCACTTCTTTTATGCATTTATTATAATGAAGAAATAAGAACTGTCAAAGGATGTTAGATACATGTCACCAAAAAGGACTATTTTATTACAATCTCTGCAATTCATGGTCCTTAGCATCAGATTTCTTTTCTAATTTAATCAGTGAATTAAAGTTTCATCTTCCAAAGTGAGGGAAAACAGATTGTGCTTTTCTGAACATACTGTTTCCAAAACCAACACAACTACAGGCATATTTCCTTTATTCAAAGACTAATCGAAATTTTATGCAGCTTTAATCTCCTTTTTACTTTCTCAAGTAGTTGATAAGTAAATTAAGGGAATTCATATTTAAAGGGCCACAGTAAATCCTTTCATAAAGAGGAAGAATTCTTTTATGTACTTATCACATTGTAATTCGTATACTGATTACTTTTCCATGTGTAGATTTCTTAAAGCTGTATTCACAGAACCTATATTTAAATTTTTTAGTGATCCTATATTAAAGTAGCTCTTAAATATTACAAAATAGCAGAAGCAAGTGTTTCTCAAACATCAGATTCTCTTTACTGAGCATCAAAAATAAAAGCTTAAATTTGATACGAGAACTTTCGTTGTACTCCACTGATGTCTGTCATGTCTGTCATGAACGTCTTTATTTTCCAAACACTTCAAAAGTTTCTCCTCTTTCAGACCTGGTTCTTCTGCCTTCTCATTAACCCTTCCAAATTTCGTTGTTCATGACATTCAGTTTCGTTCTCCTCTCCCTGCTTCTCACAGTGTGACAGACACTATCCCAGTCTTCCTCAGAATGATGTATGCCTGGCATGCAATAGGCCCTCAAAATAGGTTTGCTGATGAATTCTCAGTGACCAGTCTCCTACACCCTGACCTCACCATGCCTGAAACCTTCCAACTGCACTGACCTCTTCCTGTCATCGCCAAATGTGTAGCCACACTTGGACACTAATCAACACTTGGAAGTGCTCCATCACCCAGATTTCAAACCCCAAACCTGGCCTCCTGATTGTAATCTCAGATTCTTATCTCTTGTCTGCTGCCGCTCACTTGTACTAAACCTGCACGCCCCTAACCCTGATCTTCAGACTATTCTCCTTTCCCAAATTTGGTTGAATTAAAATCGTTGTAGTTCCGGCCCTGAAGCCATGCCACGTATTAGCCCCGACTTCTCACCTTTTCCTTTTCGTGAGGCCACGTGCATTTATTATAATGAAGAAATAAGAACTGTCAAAGGATGTTAGTAGTTCTTTCTATTCTAAAAAGGCCAAGAAAAAAGGGAGTTTAAAAAAAAAAATTAAGAGCTGCAGGGATCACCTAATTCAGCCACTTAAAATAGTAGATAAGAAAATAAGAAGATTGTGACTAATCTGAGTATTGCAGAACCTGTCACTGGCCCTTTCCGGACACTGCCCAGCCTCCTTTCTGCCTCACTTGCTCCCTACCCAGCCAGACCCCGAGGGAATCTATCTCACTACCATTCTCCTTGGTCCCTTATCCAGCTTGCTGAGTTTAACTAGCCAATCCCTAACCTACATGTTCTGTTTTTCCTGGCTTGCTGCGAGCATTGAGCCAATTCCATTTCAAATTTATCCCCCTCAAAATGGCCCTTGAATGTTGTTTAGAATCCTTGCATTCTTATCTGCTTAAATCTCTATCAGATTCTCTATCGACTTCCCATTCCACCCCTTCTCTCTCTCTGCAGATGACTTTATGACCCACTTTGCCTAGTGTTCAATGCCAAGCAAAGTGTTCCAAGGACAGAACTCGGTCAATTGCTATTCCCTGCCCCTACCCTTCTCTGCTGCGTCTGTGGCTTTCTCACCCGACCCCACTGCCAGAGTGGGCTACCAACACCTTTAGATATCTAAATATGAGTCCAGCTGAATAACATGTCTTATAAGATTACCCACCTAGTCCACAGGGAGGTCATGTTCTACCTTAGTACTCAATTGGCACCACTTTAATATGATTTAAAACTTAAAGAAAAGTTGTGCATATAAAAATTATATGCACATAGAGCAAGAGAAAAAGTAGAACAAAGAATTCCAGGATGCCCTTCAACCAGATTCCCAATATATTAAATTTGCTTTATTCTATGTACATGCTATGAAGTATTTAGGGGTAAAGGGGCATCAGAAAAATATTCATCCTCCCCCACTCATTTACAACAAAACATCCTATTAAAAACTCAGTGTTTCCCAGGATTTTTGTGCTGTTCTGGCCACATTCATAGAAGTGAAAAGGCAGAGGCGGCTTTATAAAGCATCCTTTATTGGGCTTCCCCTTAATGCTTTTCATTCTCCTGGAAAAGACATACTGAAAACATTCCATTCTTTCAGTACAGACATCCTAAAAGTTCTCCAAGCTTCACTGAAAAAAAAAAAAAAATTTTTTTTTTTAAAGCCACGGAACCAACTATTCCCTGGATTTTTTTTTTTTTTTTTTCTTTTGTAAGTCAAGGAGCATCGTTTTCAGCTTGCCCAGAGCTGTCTATTAATGCTCGTTAGAGTCTGGCATCTTGCAGCTGGAGCTGCTCTGTCCTTTTTCTAGCAGCTGCAGGTTAACTTTCCTCGATTCATGTATTTCCAATAACCCAGAATGTTAAAAACTGCTTCCAATAGCACAAGAAGGAAAGTCAAAATATTTTCTGGAAGCTTCTCTTCCCCCCATTCTTTTAAGCTCTCATCTGAAATTTAAAAGTAAATAAATATTTTACTGTTCTAATTCTTTTTTAGTTACCAAGATAACTTCTCCTTAAGAAGTTAAACTTTTTCTTAGTTTCAAGCATAATATATGCTTCACCTGTTCTCAACAAAATAAACCCTTGCTGTAGAAAGTGAAATATTATAGTTATTTATCTTTCCACCAGCACTAACGATACCTATAAGCACCCTTCGCCATTGAAGGTAAATGATCAAAGTGTGTTCTAAATCTTTAAAAAGGAGGATGTTGATCTTTTTTCTAAAAAAAAAATCCTCTTTTATTACAGAGACGTTTGGATTGACTTTTTTTTATCCCAAAACTCCATCAGCTATGAATACTTTGCCATGTAGCATGTACGTGAAATAGATTAATGTATGAGTTAAGTAAACAAAAGTTACTGATAAAAAAAAGTTACTGATGATAAAATAAAGTTCTTTATTCATAACGAAAATCTCACCACACAAAAAGAACAATATTTCTATTAAAATTCCTATTTTCCTATAACTTTTGAATCTGAGATTTAATATTTAGATATCAAAATGACCCACAATGTAATGTAGGTAATGCACGTAAAAATGACCATAATGGTAAACTGTCATGCTGAAGTGGGGTGACTGCCACAGCAGTCTTGGCTATTTTTAGAAAACTTAAGTTTCGCAAAACTTTAGAAAGGAGAAAAGGTATGTCGTTATAAATAAACATAAATTAGTAAAGTTAGTTTTAATACATTTTCAACTTTATTTTGGAAGTGGGGTAGTAACTAATAATCCCATTCCTTCTTTTGTCTCAGTAGTAATGGTTTATATAGAAACAGGTATACAGAAAAATTTCTCAGACAGATGGAATTGTTCATTGTTCTGGCCAATATGTAAAAACAATGTTGACTCAAAAGCAGCCAAATGGACAGCTGCAGATGCTGTACCCAGTGGAAATACTAAGCAGGCACAGCACGAATCAATAATCAACAAAGCAGATGCACAAAGCCTGATGAGGATGAATAATTGCATAGGCGGGGATGATAAAAGGAGCTGGTAACAGTACTAGTTTTGTCTGAAATTAGACTCTTTGTATTCACAGATTTCCTAGCAAGAGTACTTCAGCGCCTAATAACACATGAATAATATCTTTTAAAAATGCTTGGATTAAATTGATGTGCAACTTTAGATAATACTTATCAGTAAAGATATTTGAAAATCAGAGTGATCCACAAGAAAATATTGGTAGGGTGAACATAAAACTAATTTTGAAAGTAAAGAATGAAATAATATTCTAGGTGGGTTAACTACAGGGACATCAGATTATTTTTGGAATTCTTAAGTTTAATAAAATGTTGAAGAGGGAGGTAAACCTTTAGTGCACTTGTGTGTTTTTGAACGTGTGTGTGTGTGTGTGTGTGTTTAAAACCTTCCCTACTAGTCAATAAGTTTCTTGAAGTATAGTGTCTTTTATGTATGCTAAAAGTACTAAGCTATTTTGTATATAAATAAATACCCATGGAAAGAATAAAATAATACATCTTGTTTTCTTCAAAATATAATGAAAATGGACAATCTGGTTAAGCACACTTCAGTAAAAGCATTCAGAGTAAATTGTTTACATAGCTGCTGATATATGACTTGGAAAAATCTTTTAGAAGTTTTTTTTTTTTTTTTTGAGAAATAGTGACTTTAAAAACTAGAAATTGGAGTAGTAATAGATGCATTCATAGCAAACCTGAAAAGCGGGTTTCAGAGTTTTAGGTATATAGGGAAACTAAAGAAGGCATACAAGGAAGCTAGGTATGTAAGGTTCATTTATAGCCTTTTTCCTTAGGACATATGTTGCAAGTGCTCTTATAAATGCAAAGCATTCATTGCCCAGTACTATATCAAATGCTTTAACCTGAAGATTTTTTCATCTACATGCCCATTTTGTATCATTCTATTTTCTCTGAGTTATCATCGAAAATGCATACTTTCTATCGTCTACTTGTTCATTAACTTACAAATAATTTATTGAGCATCTACTGTGTGCCAGGCAGTATTCTAGATGCTGGGAACATAGCGATGAACAAACAGAAATCACTGAACTTGTAGAAATTTTATTCTAGGGATGGAGACAGACAATAAGACTAATCAGTAAAATTTATAATAAATTAGAAAATATTAAGGAAAAAAAGTAAAGCAGAGAAGGGGGATAGGGACTCTGAGAAAGGAGTGCAATTTTTAAAGTGAGTGGCCAGGAAGGGCCTCACTGAGAAGTGGCGTTTGGATTAAGTCCTGAAAGAAATGAAGGAGCAAGTCCAGTGGGGAAGAGTGTTCCAGACGGGAAATCCCAGCTTGCAAAGGCCAGGAGGGGAAATCGTGCTCTGCATAGTTGAGGAGTGTCAAGGGGATCAGTATGTTTGGAGGAGACCAAGGAGGGAAGAGCCACGGGAGATGAGATCAGAGATGACAGGAGGCTAGGTCACAAAGGACCTCATAGGTAAGAAAGGAAGCCGCTTAAGTGTTGTTTTGTTTTGTTTTGTTTTTTCTCAGAGGAGTGATATTATTTGACTGTTTAACAGGATCACGCTGCCCAAGCTGAGTTTTGAGAATGTGAAGAGGGCAAGGTGGAAATACAGAGCTCATTTAGGAGGCTCTAGCTATAATACAAACAAAAGATGGTGGTAGGGTGAACCAGAATGGGGACAGTGGTGAAAGTTAGAAGTGGCTGGATTCTGGATATATTTTGAAGATAATATTCCCAGGATTTTCTTACAGAATAGGATGTGGGGTTATCCAGTATTTGTGGTAGTTAAATTTCCACTGTTCCCTTCTAACTGATGATATTGCTGACATAACTTTTTGTTCCCGAGTCCGAAAACACATCCCAACTATTTGTGGCCTGTTGCCACTTGAGGAAGGGTAAAGCGAAAACGTGGCTCTGAAAACGACAGTATCAACACCGCCTTCTGAACTCCTTCTAGACTGTAAACTGCATGAGATTTATTTCCCTTAGTCGTCAAGGCCTGTCTCAGAACCTTGCACATAGGACTCTCCAAAACTGAATGGCATAGCCTCTACATTTCCCACGGAATAATAAACGGAAAAACAACATTGAGCTCTATCAGTTGCACAATCGTATTTTACAATTTGTATTTTATTATTAAGGGCATTATGCTGTGGTAATTAAATAGTAAATGTATTTGAGCTTCCTCAACGACAGAGCTCGTTACCAGCTCACCCTAAGGTTATTTAAGCGTTTCCGCACCTTTTAAATGAACTAAAACGGCGGAGGAGACTGGCTGGCTTCGCAGTTCGCAGCTGAGGCTGAACTTCAGGTTACGTCACCGCTCTCTTGGGAAGCTACAGCCGCGAATCCCTGCGGAGCGGTGCGCAAACATCTGTGCAGACGACCAGCCGAAGCGCGCGCAGCTCACTGGCCCGGCCGGGCGTGTGTTCCGGGGTTCAGCCCGGCAGCCCCCGAGGCGCGCGCCTGCGCTGTGCACGCCGGGAGTTGTAGTCCCGCTTCTGCCCTACGCACCTGGCCGCCGACGCGCGGGCGCCCCGAGCGGCGCACGGGCTCTGTGGAGCGCGGCGCATGCGGACGCGGAGAGCGTTTCCTAGCAACGGGGGAGCGGTAACGTCACAGCGACCCGTTCGAAACGCGGCTGCCCGCGGGAGGGCCGGGGCTGCACCTGCCAGCACTCGCGGGCCCGAGCAAGCGCAGCCCTCGGCCCTCGTCTGCGCGTCTCCGGCGGCCCTTCTCCGCCTTGTCCTGCCCCGGGTCGCCGACAGCCGCCCGCTCTGCGACCTCGATTCTGAGGCCCGGCCCGAGGCTAGAGGCTGCCCGCCCGGCTCTCCCCCCTGCCCCGCGCGCGCGGTGCCCACCGTCCGCGGTCTCGGCTGGACGATGCTGGAGTCCATTCGCGTGACGGGTGAGTGCGGGGCAGAGCGGGCGCCCGGGCTGGAGGGGCGACCGGGGTCCGCCCGGCCGTTGGCTGCGCGCGTGGGGCGGGTCGTGGCCTCGACAGCCCCGAGGCCGAGGTAACGGAGATGCGGGCGCGGCGCGGGCGCTCGACCCGGCGCCCGGAACGGTGCGGGGCGCGCTGCGGGGTTCAGGGAAATGTGCTGCGGGAGAGAAAACGGCCCGTTTCCTTTTGTCATTTAGTAAGCATGAGTTGTGCAGTCTAGAGAAGTAAGTTATAATAGATTACTGGCCCTACAAATGTACCGTCCAAATACATATCGTTTAGTCCTGTTTTAAAGCATAGTAGGTATGTAATTCGGCATTATATGTACTGGGTCCCCTTTTCTAGAATGTTTAGGAAAATCAGAGCTAACCAAAAGAACGCTTGGCTGTATATCAGCGTTTATGCTGCTTATTTCTATGTGTGCTTTTATTCTTAAATCAGGGAGAACATTTTGAGTTGGTATTATTAATAGGTCGCTTTATAGTATGTATTATAGTAAAAAATGGGTGTTCGGACCCTAGATCAGAAAGTTTACTTTCCCTTATTAGTTTGAAAAATAACTATGGATTTTAACCATTTAAAAGTTATCTGACATAATAGTAGAATAATTTTCTAGATTGCATTCCTGGCATTTCATTCTATATAATATTTCTGCAAGACAGTCGTGGTAGTCCAGTATTATGACAAAGAACAACGAAGAACAGAGTAAAAGGAAATGCCTAACTTAACCTGGCAGGAGAGATACCTTGATCACGTAGGTGGTTTTCCCAGGGCGAGGCTTATCCTTGACACTCCAGATGTGCTGACCGCTGCGATTTCTCCAAATGTGGGAAACTCGACTGCATAATTTGTGGTAGTGGGGGACTGCGTTGGCGCTCTCCCCTGAAAAAAGTAAATAAAAATAAATAAATAAATAAATAAAAGGATAGGCCCGATTCTAAAACTAGTGTCAAAATAAGTCTAGAGTTCTTTTTACCCTAAGGCGTTGCAGTACCTGATAGACCATTTTTCTGTGAAATTTTTAATGGTAAAACTAAATTCCTTTCCAGTGAAAATATTATGGCTTTAATTTTATTGTTTTATTTCATGTTCCATATTATAAACTGTAGAACTGATTTTATGCAATCATGACATTGCCGTGATCGATCCCATTGTTATTTATGTTGAGGAAGCATAGACAGTTAACAGCATCTAAGATCTAAAGGGCAACATAAATTGTCATTAGATTTTTTAAAATGTGATTCGATGTGGATGTTAGTCTTTCATCTTAAAATACAATGGAAATGTTGGAAGTTACTAAAAAATACCGTACCTTCCATGTGTCTTGGAGCAGGTCTCTCAGACTTGGCACTGTTATCATTAACTTAGTAGATAAGTGTTTGTTGTGGGGACTGTCCTTTGCATTGTAGAATATTTAGCAGCATCCATGACCTCTATCCACCAGATGCCAGTAGCAACACTCTCCTTACCCCCAGTTGTGACAACCAAAAATGCCCCCTGAAGGAGCAAATTCCACCACATTTAAGAACCACTGCCTTATATAGTTAGAGCCCGTCCAAGTGAAGGTTATTAGATAATGATTTAGAAGTAAAACCAATTAAATAATATCCCCAAAGCATAACAATCATTGTAGAGAGAGAATGCGATTATGATAGTATTAGAAAGTGGATATTCTGACCAGCTAGTCAGCAATATAAAGTGGATCTCCTGTTTTTAGATATACAGATTTGGAAATTTGAAGAAAGATTCTTTATAAAATAGTAGACACACACCTCTTGCCTCAACTTCTTTCTCATAATTTAATGGATATCCATATATTAATCTACCTGCACGTTAAATACCTTGAGATAGGTAAGTCGGCAGTGAATTTCTGTACAAATTCATATAGCCTTTTGGAACAGTTCAAGCCTCAAATTTGAAACCTCTTTCAAAATAATTCACCAGGTTGTTTTTCAAAATAGTTTCTCCATTTCTTTTATATAGTACTTGACTTGTTAAAATGATAATTCTAGAACCCTATGCCCAGCATTCCTTTGCCATATCAGAAAGCCCAATATAAATGGCCAGAAACTCTATGAAGAGAATTTAGCAGAAAACATGCCCCCTTTTCTCTTGCTGTCCCCTCACTATTTGTTGGTATCTAAGAAGTCTGTGTTGTTTTGGTTAGCAGAAGAACTTGGCTATTTATGGTGAGGGTATCTATGGAAATGCATTGTTGGGTTTTTTTTTCAGCTTTAAAATAGCTATAAATATAGAGCAGATTGTTTTTTACTTAAGGACTGAAGCAATTAACTGTTTCTGAAATCACTTCCCATGTAATACCTTACCCACTTTGACTTATTAGTCACGAATGAATGTAATCTAAATATAACATTCTGGTAGAACTGCTGATTGGAAGATTAAAATAAAATAAGAAAGGTGTTTATTATATATATGCTGTTTAAAATGAAATCAAATCAGAAAAGGTTTCTGTGCCTTTTCATAGCTTTTTAAAGGAGTTAGTTTATTATAGTAAAGCCACTAAAATATTGGTTCTAGAATGAAGAATTAATTACTTCATGTTAAATTTACATTGAAATCCAAATTCTAATCATTCTAAACTTTCGCATAAATATTATCCCATGGGGCGTTTCTATTGGAGCTGAATATAATGTCGCATATAGTAATGATAACGGATCCTGTACACAGGCTGCTTGCTAGAAGCGAGGACTGTTCTCAGCACTTAACATACATTAACTTTTTTGTTCTTTGCTCCAAAACTATGATGAATTTAGTTTGTTATCCCATTTTACAGATAAGGATATTACATCATAAAGAAGTTCAGTAACTTGGTCAAGGTCACAGCTGTTGATGAATAGCCAAGACTCCCAGGCCCATGTTCTCAACTACTAGGAAAGTCACAGCACTGTTAAAATGACTATATAAGGATTTAAGCCACAAAATTCAACACGAAGATCCCATTTAACCTCAGTGGTACCTTATCTGACAGTTTATTTAAGGTATTTTTGAAGTTTTGTCATAGGCAAGTCTGTAAATTTTTGCTTGGAAAGATCATTTTTACTTAGTTATAAAATCATTGTTTTCAAAATAGAGAAGAAGATAATATAGTTCATTCGATGAGTAGCAAAATTTTCTAAGAAGCCATATAAGATTATGTTAATTTATGATTTTCTAGTGCCCGTATTTGGTGTGTGGTATAAGAAGTGATTAACGAGTCTTCTGGAAATGAAGCTCCTTTGTAACAAAAGTGTTCAGAAATACTGGAGACAAGTTTTCTTAAGGCCAGTGTGTTTGGCCTTATAGGATGAGTGCACTTAGGCACATGGCCCCTGTTTGTCCTATAGCAGTAGAAGGCACCTGCCATTAAAACTTGTCTTCAACATTGCAAATTGTTTCCTTTGTTTATGTGGCCCTGGTGTGACTTTTTTCTCAACCTTCAGGCATTCAAATTCTGTATCCTTTCTCTCCTCTGCAATATTCTCCTCCCTCGGCTACCGCTCCAGCCATCCTTTCATAATCAAGGCAAAGAGTGAGGGGAAACAAACCCAGACGTCTGCCGTAATGGGCCTTAGAATTTCAGTGTCGCGGAGGCCATCGTATGAACCAATGTCAAACTGCCAACATGACAAGCGGTTTAGAAAACCTCCCAGGGAGTTTTCCCGAACAAGTGATATTTGTGCTCAGGGATGAGTAGAAGCTAATCTAACAGAGAGGGGAGGGCGGGACTCAGTGTGGAGAGGTGTGTCCGGAGAGAGAGGGTTGAGTGTGAGGGGTGACAGAATGAAGGGACGCCAGAGTGGACTGATGAAGGCGGAGCGTTGTGTGGGCCGGGGCCGGAGAGGCAGAGTGGCCTGTCCACGAGTGACCTCGTATGCCATGGCTCGGAGCTTTGCTTTCATCCTAAATGGACAGCCATGAGGAATTTTGTTCTGTGACACGTTCACTGTTATTTCAGATGGTGTGTAGTGCTTTTTTTTTAATCTTTTTTTTTTTACCATAATCATCATTTCCTGCCATTATAGAATGCCTTATGTATTTCTAACTGTAACACACACACACACACACACACACACACACACACACACACACACACACACACACACACACACACACACACTAGTTTCTGACCAAAAAACAACAGCATCACATTATAAAGAATCGTCGTTACCCATATAGTAACACTGAGTACTCTATTAAGTAAGTACTCCTAGCTGGGATGGAGAATTTTAGGAATCTTGAAGTACAGTTGAGTTTCTCAGTTCCTGAATTACAATACCTTTCCATCTCTTTTTTTTTTTTTTTTTACTTACAGTCGAGTAACTATATTGGGTACTGTTGAATCTAGAGATGATATAATTTAATAGCTTATTTTTTATAATGTAGACAGTGGGCAATAAATGTTTTCCGAGATACTTATTTTTATAGACCATTTGAAAAATTAAGGTGCAACTTATATTCAGCAAAGTACATAGGTCTTAAATGCTTGATGAATTTGTACATCTGCCCAGAACAGGATATAGAACATTTCTAGAACCCAATACCTTGGTACCTCATCCAAGGTTATAATCCCTCCCTCTTACATAACCACTGTTCTGACTTCTAATGCCATGTTAGTTTCGCCTGTTTTTGAACTACATACAGATGGAATTGTACAGTATGTACTCTTTTGCTCTGGCTTCAGTTTGCTCAGTATTGTCTGTGAGATACGTCTGAGGTTGCAAGATTGTTGCTTGCAACCTCAGTTTGTCCTTTTTCATCTCAATATACTATCCTATGTGAATACACCACAGTTTAGTCATCCTTTCTACTGCTGGTAGAGATTACATCATTGGAGTTTTAAGTGATGATGAACTACTTGATAAAAGTGTTTATCTTATTGGGAGATTATTTTGTTTTGTTTTTGCCTTTTCTTCTGTGTAATCAAGCGACCTGTTGTTTTGTAGTGTAACATTATAGCAGGTTCTCAGGTTTCATAAGTATTAGTGAACCATATAAAATTGCCATCAGATGGTAGAATGGTATTCTCCACCAGGCTTTGTTTCTGGTGATCTAATCTTCCTTTCAGCCAGAGACCTCATAATTACTGTGAAACCTCACCTATTCTTAGCGAAACACCCAGAGTTTAGTGAGCAGTGCTCCCCTCTGTCCCCCATTCCTTTAGCTGAGGAACATGGAGCACTGATGGGTTTAGCGATTAGGCTAATATTACAGAGAGGTAATTGAGAGAGCTGGGAATGGAAGCCAGGGATTCTGGTGTTTTTCTCTCCTGTTCTAGATACAAACGAAGCTTTCATTGTGTTGGTAATTTCAGTATATTCACCTACTTCTGAGTATACTGAGCATCAATTTTAATGTAATGTTTTTCTTTTTTTCCTGTTTCGGTAATCAGGTTGGGGTGAATGATTTTTTGATCAACAAATTTTTTTAATTTACTCCAAGGTTCTAGTGAAGCAGTTGCTGATGGCTAAAATGTCACATTATATAGTGACTTTTAATATAAGAAGGTGACTGTGAGAAATTTACATCCATCTTATATGAGTGTTTGAAGGACCATCTGCCCTACTTTATGAACTCCGTGGCATATCAAGATTTGGCAGGATTGACGTTTCTTAAATAAATACACCTTTGGCACTCCCAAACTTACTCATCAGCAGATGGAGCTTAAAAAGGATGAGGCTAAGTCTCTCAGGTAGATAATTAACAGGTAAACTGAAATGCCCAGATTCCTGGGGGGAGGGGTTTTGTCGTACACACACTGGCACCTCTCTCCCAGCCCCCACTCCTCCTTGAGTGTTTTGGCAGATGGTTTAGGACTTCTTAAAAAAGTATCCTGAAGTGTATAGGTTGTTTGAGATGGGACAAAATTATGAATTTAGACATCACTGTTGCTTTGTGACAAAAGAACTCAATGAGCTTAGCTCTTCGGTCATAAAACTACTGAGACTTAGGACCCAAAGAAAGCATTTTTACACCGAATATTCATTTTTTAAAAAATCAACACAAAATAAATGTAATAAACCATCAGTATTAGGAATTCTTCAGAGTAGTTTTATTAATTAATTTTTAATTTAGTGTAACTTTCCTCCTCTTTATTATGAAGACCAAATGAGAAAACCTGATTTCCTCCTTTGACCTCCTGGCTGGCCTCGTCCTTATCTGGCTTTTCTAGGTTCGTGATACCCTTATTCTTACCTCAGTTTTCTGGGTCTTTTCCTGTTAGTGTCCATTTCAGTCTTCCTTTCGTTATCACTTCTTATGTCCTGAACTTGTGGTGTCCTTTTAGGGAAACTGACAATATTCGGGGCCATTTGGGCTGCAGCCTGTGTCCTGGTGTTCTTTAGCCTCTGTTTGCCCAGCCTGCCCAGTTGTGACTATCAGTTGGCACCTTAAGTCCGAAACCCCTGAGGAACTGGGACCTGCCAGTCTGTGATGAAAGTTTTGTTTGTTCTGTTTGTTTTTGGCTGATCGTGAACATTTATTGAGTGGCTTCTTTGTGTAATCAACCTTCAACATGACCCTGTGCAATCTAGCTCCTACCTCTGCCTCTCAGCTTGTATGTGTAGTAGACATTTTATTTAGCGCCTGCAAGTTCATACTGCTTTGTTATCTTTTAGACACAGAATTCAAATTTCACATGTTGGCCTAGAAAATGTTAAGTAGAGGACTTAAATACCTTAAGTATTTGGTTATTATCCACTTTTGACCTGGAATTATTTCTTTACTCTAAACCTTATAACCTCTGGAGCTTTAAAAGGTTATATTTAGAGCAGGGTATCTCTAAGTTGGCACTATTTTAGGATGAATATTTTTGTTGTCAGAAGCTGTCCTATGCATTACAGGATGTTTGGCATCATCCCTGGCCTCTGCCCACTGATGTTTAGCATCCACGGGCCACTACCCAAGGTGCCAGTAGCACGTCTCCCCTAGTGGTAATACCTAGCGTCTCCAGACATTGCCAGTGTTCCTGCGGGGTGCGGGGAGTGGGGGCCAGATTGCCTCTGGTTGAGAACCACTGGTTTAGGGGCTTCCCTGTTATTTTTCCACTTCTGCAATGATCTCCTCATGGACATATAGAATGGTCCCAGAACTGCTAATACCTATTTATCTAAAATGGCTGCAGAATGGCATGTTTAAGGTCATGCCATTCATTCATTCATTCATTCATCCGTTTCTTCAACGTACATTTATCGAATGTCTACCAGATACCATGTTAAATGTGGGAAAGAAACAAATGAATAGAATGTGGTCCTGGTGCCTGTCTTTGTACATAAATTATTCACATTACCATGTCTTACTGGGGTGCCGTGTTCTGTGCAGAGGAAGAAAGGGCGCAGTGCTGTGCATGTAGCTGGCTTAATGCTGAGTATCTGTTGCTAATTGAATGAGTGACCAGATGTCATAGAACGAACATGGACTCTAATCAGACACACCTGCATTCAAATCATGGTTTACTGTTTATTACTTTCTTTTCATCTAACTTTGAGCTAATTGCTTAACATCCCTGAGGCTTAAGTGATATAACATGTATTTTTTGTGAAACCCCAAACTCATATAAATGTATCAGTGGTGGCTGCTATTATTATTGTTACTTATTACTACTTATAGAAAGGATCTAATATCTAATCTTGAATGAGTAACAGATATATGTGGATAAACAGTTTTTTAAAAAATGAAATAAATTGTCTCTAATTTCAAGATTGTATTTGCTTTGAAAATGCCTTAGATTTTGCTGTTCTTTCTATGAAATCCACGTTCTTTGGTAGAGTTGAGTATTATTTATGTGTTTATTATCTCATATCTATGTTAAACTTTGATCATCTAAATGGTTTGAAGCTTTGGATTTTTATAGATAATTTAGCGCGCATACACATAGAAATATATCTTTTTAATTCTTAAATTGTCTTTTCTAAAGATTGGTACAAATTTTAAAGTTTATGTAACCTTCAGAATACTTTTCATGTAATAAACACTTTGCTTCATCTAGTATCTTTGTTATTTCTTTTGTTTTGATTTTGTTTCTTAACACAGAAAAGCTTCACTGGCCTGAGCAGGAACTTGCTAAGAAGTCTATTCTAAGTGCAGAAGAGTCATTGGTCATTGGCGACGACAGGAGCATTTCACATTTGTCTCCTGGAGTCCTGAAGGACATTTTCACAACCGGAACCAGTAGTTACAATGTCCTCCTACAGAGTAAAGAGGAGAAAAAGCATCAGTCGCAAAAGCAGTCTTCCTCCACATACTCCAAAAGATGCAGAAAACCCAGCAAATCTCCTAGCTCTTCTCGTAGTAAGGACCTTCGCAAGATGAAAGCCCCAGTGCCGGTGATGAGCGCTGGTCCTTGGTACTGCCTAGAAAGGCAGCCTGCTGTCTTTGTCACTAGTTCAGGGTCAAATCCTGTGAAGTTTACACCTGGTATCTCTGTTACAGGGAACAGCATAGTACTGCCACCTAAACCCAAAAACAAGGTCAAGCGATGCCATTTCTCCACTCTTCCAAAGCCAAAGCCACAGCCTCAGCTGTCTAGAAGTTTTGAGAAAGGAGATGACTCCTCTGGAAAGAAATTTTGTATACTGACTGCTATAAAGCCCACCAACTTGGAGAAAGAAAAACTGAGATTCTTCAAGTCTGACTATACCTACAATCCACAGTTTGAATATGCTAATTCTTCTCTGCCAGGTGTGTTAGCCAAGCACAGCAGCGCATCTGATCGCTTTCTTAAGCAGGTAAAATGCCGCTTCACTACTGGTATTTTCATTTTATGTAGCTAAAACAGTTATTTGCAATCTTGTAAAAAGAAAAAAAAAGACTTGAAAAATATTCCAGTTATTTATATGTCATAGTTAACTCCTACCCAGAACATGTATGTATGTGACAGGGACTTTCTAGGTAAGTGGCATGGCCTTCATGCAAACTGCTTTGCACTAATCAAAATCTATAAAGAATCCGTTGTATAGACTTTGTGGCAGGAAGACACTGTACTAGGAAAAAAGCTTCAGATTCTGGTTCCAAGCGTTCATTTGGGAGTTACCAACATGTGGCCCGTTAGGCAGCCCACAGACACGTGTGGCCGGCCGCACTGCATTTTCTGTTTGACACTGAAAGCCGTAGAGGGAGCGGGCAACCTCCGGTTCGCCCTGTCCTGTTACAGTCCCAGCTTGCTTAGACTCCCAGAGGCGCTTGGGGACCTACCCTCGATACTTGCCCACGAACATTTTAGTGCTTTACCGAAATTGTTAATCATCACATAAATATTTAGAAACTCATTTAAAGAAGAAAACAATGAAGTTTTAAAAATGATCTTCAAGACTAGCAAATCATGATGTGAATGATGTAAGCAGCAATTTCCGGATTGCTCAGTTTAGACACACAACACACAGTTCCGTGTGCTTTGGGGCCTGATAAACTTCAGAATTCACTGACGTGTTTGAGGAGAAATTGGCCGATGTTCACCTGCCCGGCATGGTGTTGAGGTCATAAAGGCAGACTGCATTTGGCTAAGTTAACTTTGTACGGGCATTCATAACGCATCGGGTTCGGCCTGGCTCTGTCACAGAGGAACGTCTGCTGGGAGGCTGGGCAGCGCTGCGTGGTTCCACTGGCCTGTGGTGCGTGCCCTATTTTAGCATTTTTACTACAACCCAGTTCTTTGGATTTGTGGCCAGAAGATTTTGTTGTTATAAATGGCATGGAATCTGACCAGTCTTTTGAAGCCATTACGTAAAGTTTATTTTTAAGATTAAAGTAATTTTAATATAGCTCTTTCTTTTCCTTTGTTAGAAGAAACCTTTTCTGCTGTGTCTCTATTTTCTAATGAGCAATCACTTTTTATTTAAATGTGTTGAGATTGTGCTAAGCGTTTATTTAAAAGTCGGCTAATGTTTTTCTTCCTATTTTGGCAGTCATTTTGTGATTTTGTTGTTGTTGTGGAAATTGCAGTTGATCAAACAGGGCTTTCATTTCTAAGTTAGGATAATTATAAAAATGCTGTTTGCCCCTCCCCGCAAGATGGCCGAGATTTATTCACCGATATTCTTTAATTTGGAGTCCTACACCAAGTCCCACCATTAGATTAACGAATGTCTCATTTACCTGAGGCAGTTAGGAAGCATCACAGCCCCTCGGGTCGAGCATTGACACTGCTTTGCCTGTGGCTGTACAATCTGTATTTTAGCCCAGTTCTAACTTGAGATAAAAACCTATATTTGGGTTGTTCGAGACTTCTAAATCACACCAGCAGTCCTAGCCGACTTGTACTTCAGATGCCACCACTTGAGAGAATGCTCTCAACAAATGCCAAATATACTGTTCAGACCACTTTGATTAAATAAAGGAGATTTATCAGAACAAAGGCCTCCATAAAATATGCTTAAATTCCTATTCAGCATCTCAGTGGATTGTGACATGATGTCACATCCACCCCTTCTCCAGCTGGACGCTAAAGCAGCAGCTTCAGGGCCAGTCTCAGGATTCAGAAACGCACTGCATAAAGGGGCCAGGATGTCCAGGTAGCCCCTGGTCTGTAGCCTCCATCAAGGCCTTGCCACCCGCCCCCAGCCTTCAGTCTCCAAGCCATGGCATCCTGACCCGTCTGAGGCCGGCGGTCCCTCCAGTACACAGACAGGCACAATGTGCTGAGCTCCCCAGGCACAGATCAGTCTACCCCAGTGAGACCCAGGCAGCGCCCAGGCTCTGGTGTCCCCCATTGGTTACCCTGTCTCTTCAGGCAGCTCCAAGACTCAGTTTTCCTGGTCAGGCAAGAGGTTCTGCAGGAGGCACTCAGCCTTTGAGGTGGCTCATGGCATCTAGCCTGGGCCGCAGGGCCCGAATATATCTCCTGAGAGAGCCTGCCAAACCCTGCTCGGCCTCTTGCCGGCCACTGTGGTGGCCCTCAGCTCCGCCACCCCGGGGTGTGCTTAAACGTGACAGAGTTTGAAAGTGTCTCTTTTCTGCGGCTGTGGGCCTCTGCGGGAAAGAGCTCAGTGCCCCTGGTGCTGAGGAGAAGGGACCTGGATGAGAAGTAGTAAGAGCCGCTGGGGTCAGGGGGTCAGAGGTGGGGCCTCGGTGGTGCCCTTGAGCAGCAAACTGGCCGTCAGGGCACTTTCGGTCCCCGCTGCCAGGTGGCTGAGCATCCCCAGGGAACCCAGATATCAGCTCCAGGTGGCCTTAGACGCAGCACATTGCTGAACGGATTGGAAGTAAGAGGTGAGAAGCGTCTTCAGGTCAGTCATGGGAGCCCTTGAACTTCAGTGTCTCCAGCAGTCACATGGAAATTATATATTAACGTGGTGAAGCCAGTGGACAGCTTCTGTGGCCGGTTTTCAGCCTCTGGCTGAACTCATACCTCAGCGTCGATCCTGGCTAGCTCCTGCTAACTGGGAGTTCCGATTGGTGGAGGTGGAGCGACATTTAATAACATTAGGAAAATAAGTCAGCTTTTGTTTGGCTAGATAAGATAAAGCTTGAATTATTTTCTTATTTAATAAAACTGGAGCAATGGGGATCCTTAGTGGTTGGTAAATGGGGAGCTTTTGTATGAGAGGAGGCAGGCTTTGGGGTGTTGGGTACCCTCTGGCAAAAGGAATTTTAACAGAGAGGCCTGAGCTGCTGTCCTTGGAAAGCCCAGCTTGCAAGATTAACCCTTGCCTGGCATCTGAAATAAAACTTTCCCTCAGTGATGAGAGTAGCTCGCTTTGCCTAAACTGCAAACAGCACGTTTGATGTTGGATACCTCTTTTTCTTTTGAGAGTCTGGAGTTTTGGAGTCTGCTAGGTATAGTAGGGGTGCGCATGTGGCCAGGCCCCAGTAATCACCCTGGGCGCTGGGTCTGTAACAAGGCTCCTTGGCAGACAAACTCGTTTTACAGCTCAGTTGCTGGGTAAGTGACTCGTGTGCCGTGTGACTTCACTGGGAGAAGACTCTTGGAAGCTCGTTTCTGGTTTTCTCCATACTTTACTGGAGATAAGAATTGGGGAGTGATGGGTTTAAGTTGATCCCTTAAAGGCATTTACATTCAGGTTTCAGAAAAAGAAGAAAAACTCTGCACTGTCCAAATAAAACATCCCCGTGGGCTGTATACACTGTCAGTTTGAGATTCCTGATCAGAGATAGGTCTGGCTTCACATAGCTCCCTAGAGGGCCGTTGTTGGGGTGCCTCTGACAAATCGAGCCTGGGTTCTATGTTGACAGAATAGATTCGGTTTACCATGAACATGAGATTCTTCTTTGGCATCCTAATACTTCTAACACTTTTTAGTTGCATGATATTTGTATAGAAGGTCGAGTAAATTAAGTGTATGCCAAGTTAGTAGAAATTTTTCATTGAGAGTAGCTGAGAAAGCTCGAAGAAAAAAATTATACTTGTTTTCCATATACTTCTATTTGTTATGAAGTTGTTGACACTTTTTTTGTAAGACCCTCGCTGCTCTGTTATTCCATTAAAATTGCTTTAAAATTTAAGGACAAAGTCATATCAGTGTGTGACAAATCACTGCTAGCATTGATATTTGCTCATTACTCCGTGTGCCGAGTGCTTCACACCTGTCGTCATCTTTGGTCCCTCGCGTGAGGAGCAGTGGTTGCGGTATGACCAGTTGCAAAAACTGACCTAGACAGGTGAAGTAACTTTCCTGAGGTCACTATGTGTACAGTAGGTTACAGAGCCAGGAGTCTGTCCCAAACACCCCGTTTCTTCCACACCATGGTCTGGCAGCAAACCAGCCCTCAGTTTCCATGATGTAAATGTGAATACTTCCACCGTGACCAGTTCCAAGCACTGTAGCCTCTCCTGGCTTGCAAGTCATACACATTCAGCGAGCTCTCGCAAGCCGGCGTGCCCGGGCCCCAGCATCCCACTGCTTCCCGAGGGCTTTTGACCTGGCTTTCCTGACCCTAGTGCCACTCTCCACCCGAAAAGCACCAGACCAAAAGATCCTCTCACTTTGCTAGTGAGGAGTCAGTCACAGGGACTCAGAAGACTGTTTTTGTCTTTCTGTAAGACACCTATGAAATAGTGACTATTAGTTACAGTTTTTTGGAAGCTTTAAGACAACAGTATTAACCTTCTTCCTGTCACGGCACCCATCTTTTTCAGTTATAGTTTTGATCTCAACTCATAGTACAACGTTAATTAGTGCCTTAGGAAGAGTACAAGGTCAAAGTTGAACTCCTAGTCTATGAACTAAATATTTGAAAAAAGCAAAAATGGGGCTCCCCAAAAGACCTAACCGCAGTGTTATAGCTGGCTGATTTTTCTCTTCATGCCCCTCTGACTCTGCCAGTGAACCAGGCAGAAACATCCCTTTCATTACAGCTCCCACAATATGTACCTCTTCTCTGTTTACCACTGTCCTCACCATTGCATTTCACCTGTTTCCTGTTTCACATAATCCAGAATTGGCAAGAGAGTTAAAATTAAGTATCTTCAAATGAAACAAAATAGCTGAAAATAGCTTTGAAAAATTCCTTCTACAATAAAGTAGTATATAATATCCAGTGCTATCCTAGTCTTAAGACTTTATATTTTTCAAAATAATTGTTATTTGCAAATATACTCCGGTTTTGATCACTCATATTAATAGAAGGAAACATTTATATGGATTAGGTACAATGGAAAGTTTATTCCCTGCTCCCTCCCTATTGAATAGTTGTCATCAGGGCTGCCACCTTGCTCTCCTGCTGTGACAATGCCACATCAGCCATGAGTAATCCACTAGGGTCAGCAGTA